CACCAGCGCCAGGCCACCCGGGTGGGAGACCACTCGCCCGCCTCGGCTACTACGGCTGCTGCGGCGGCTGCGGCTGGTGCGAGGACTGCTGCAGCGACTGTCGCGTGTCCGGCTGCAACACCTGCGGCTGCTGAGACGGCTGCTCGGCTGCACCTGTCAGGGTCCCCTCGTCCGCGCCACCACCACCTATACCTGAACCCCCACCCCCTCCGCCGCGCCTAGCCTTGGGGCGGCGACCCTTCCCCGAACGGACTTGTGCTGCAGCGGCTGTCTCAGCCACAGCAGCAGAACCGTCGGAGAAGGTGCACTGAGCAGGGGCACAACCCTGAAAGATAGGGACCGGCACAGTACCGCCGGTTTGGGCGATAGAGCGGTGGCGGGCCTCTATGGCGGACAGGGTGTCAACAAAGTCAGTGAGGGTGAGGTCTTCGGGGTGGACGCTAAGGAAGCGGTCGCGGGCAGTGGCAAGGCGGTCAGGGAGGCAGGTGGCCAGCAGGTAGAGAGCAAAGCAAAGGGGCGGCTGGTGAGCGCGAAGCTGTGTGTTAGTTCAGGCAGCGCGCCAGGTCTCGTCTATAGTGCGCAGGTGGGCGGCCAGATCAGTGACAGTGGGAAACGACGTAAGGTCAGGGAAGAGCATGGGGAGGATCAGGCGACCTACCGAGGCAGCAGGCGGGGTGGAATAGCGCTAGACAACAGCATCTAGGAAAGCCTGGGCAGTGGTGATAAACCTAAAGCAAGGGCGCTCAGACAGGGGGAGGGCATGGCTGATAGCAAGCTGTGCGACAGCATTACTCGACAGCCAGACGGAGCGAGCAAGGGCAGCGGCCGCAGCGGACTCACGCTCAGCAGATGAGGGGTCAGCGGGCAGCGCAGCAGTGCGGTGCAGTGCGGTGTAGAGCGGCGCAGTGCGGTGCAGTGCGGCGCCGTGCGGTGCAGTGCGATGTAGTGCGGTACAGCGCGGTGCAGTGCGGTGCAGTGCAGTGTAGCGCGATGCAGTGCGGTGCAGAGCGGTGCAGTGCGGTGCAAAGCGGTGCAGAGCGATACAGTGCGGTGCAAAGCGGTGCAGTGCGGTACCAGGGGGGTTGTAGGGCGGTGCTGGTCGGGAAGAACGGGCCGGGCACGAGTCGGTGGAGGGCCGGCGGCGAAGCGAATGCGGGGCCGGCGACGACGGCGGACACTAGGGGCCGGCTGGCGGACGGCGGGCGAGAGGGGCCGGCGGACGCGAGGGGCGGGCACGGGGCCGACGAGGGGCGGGCACGAGGGGCCGGTAAGGAGCGGGCACGTAGGGGGCTGGCTAGGAGCGGGCACGGCGGCACGAGGAGCCGGCTAGGAGAGGGCGCGATGGCTCAGGGGAGGAACGGCCAGGATGGGCGCGGTGGCGAGAAGGGGCCGGCTAGGGGCAGGCGCGACGGCGAGCAGGGCCGGCTAGGACAGGCACGACGGCACAGGGGGCCGGGGAGGATGATCGCGACGGCTGCTAGGAACGGCCGCGGCGACTAGGAATGGCCGCGACGGCGGCTAAGGACGACCGCGACGGCTAGGAACGGCCGCGAGAACGGCTAGGAACGACTGCGACAGCGGCTAGGAGCGTTTGCGACGGCTAGAAACGGACGGTGGCTAGGAACGGTCGCGACGGCTAGGAAAGACCGCGATGGCGGCTAGGAACTACTGCAACGGCGGCTAGGAATGGCCGCGATGGCGGCTAGGAACAGTCGCGACGGCTAGGAACGACCACGACAACGGCTAGGAACGTTCGCGACGGCTAGGAACGGCCGCAAGACGGCGGCTAGAGGTGGCCGCGATGGCTGCTAGGGACGGCCGCGAGACGACCAGGGACAGCCGCGACGGCTAGGAACGATTGCGACAGCGTCTAGGAACAGCCGCGACGGCGGCTGGAAACGGGCGAGACGGCAGCTAGGGACGGGCGCGACGGCTAGGGGCGGGCGTGACGGCGGCTAGGGCCTAGGGCGGAAGCGTGGGCGGGCTAAGGGGGGGCCGAACCTACTATGATACCATATCAAGATGAGTAGTTGAGTAGAATAGAAGGATACAGGGATATATAGACTAGGGGTTGTACCCTCTAAGGCACAATCTAGTATAGTCTACAGTAACTACATAAGTTACATTTGACACTCATGACTTCCACCTATCCCAGAGAGGGGGGGTGTTGAGTGACCCGCTGGGGTTACCCTTGAGAAGATCCTCGAGGAAAGGCCACAGGTGCAGAGCCTGGGGGGCTATGGGCGCGCTGACCCGCTATTAACAAGCCCTTTTAACTCAGTGGTTAGTGACTGAGTTTCTGACAGTTCGGACCTGAGATGTCGAGCCGAGCCTGGACGAAAGTTTTTGTACTTGATGTTAGCAAGGCTCGATAAGGAAATTGAATTTTCCTAGACTAGACTACCCACATATGGGGCAGCCCAATCATGTAAATAGGCCTGCACCAATGGGTTGTTGTCGAAGGTAGCGGCTGGGTGTCGTCGTCACACGTACGGTCAACCCATCGAAATAGGAACTCCAAAACCTATTGACTTTGGTCGCGACGGATACGGTGAGAGAGAATATGCTGTAGTTCGGTGGTTGGCTCGGGGACGGGCTTGATCGAAGGATAGAGTCGTTGACGGTCGAGATCAGCCGTGTTCGCGACGAACTGTCGAAGGAGGCTGACGTGGGATGAATCATGGATACGCCAATCGTCAGGTAACAGTAACTTGGCAGTGACTGGTGTTATAATGTGAACAATTCTGAATGCCCACATAAACTCAGGCAGAGTTTATATGGTAAACTCAACCCCAAACTCGTGGTGTCCAGAAGGACTAGTTGCCCAGGAGACAGGGGTAAATCCCGTCTATGCTTGTCAGCGTACCATTTGACAGTAAGGTTGGCTTTTGAAATAACCTCGGTAGCGTTTTTTCTGTGCAGTCTGTAAGTCCTTCACGAACTGTTGCGACCGTGGGGCGGGACTCTCAACTAAGGGTGTAGTGGAAGGCGTAGGGTTTAAACCAGGGCGTATGTTAGGTTTTGGGACAGCCCGGATGGTTTGGGCAGCCCTCCAAATTTGCCTTGGAAAGCCAAGGTCAAACGTAGCGCCTCCCTGATGTTTCAGGGCTGTGGCAATAGCGTCCTGGAAAAATCAGGGCTGGCTGAATTTTCACTCTGCTGGCTATGCAGCCTAGCCTTGACAGACACAGGCCTGATGTGCTGGGAATCTACCTGACAACCTGATTTGTTGAGCAGAGTGCTTATCGAGACTGGCAGTTAAAGCAACGAGGAGGAGGGTGTTAGAGAAAGGCAGCACTGGCCAATGTATTTGTGGCTCCTAAGCATTATTCCGCTAAGCAGCAGCCCGGATCCAGAAGGTGAGCAAACTCATCACAGAGCTCCATGTAAGCCTAAGATGTTGTAGATCGATGCTAATTCCCCAGACAAATTCGGTATACAGGGCAGGGAGAGCGCGAGAGGTTTCTAAATCTAAGGAGGCGGAAATCTTGGTGAGAGGGAAATGGGTGGACGGAGGGGGAAGTGCGGGAAACAGGACAAGGGGGAGTGGGGGTGTGGCAGGCTGCGGGTACCCCTTAAAATTGCTCGGATGCATCAGGGTTTGGCAGAAAGGCCCTCGTTGGGTTCAGGGTCCCGGAAAATTACCCTCTGAATTCCTCAAGGCTTGGACGAAAAGGACCCTGATATTTTCTGGGTCGTCATAAAAACTACCCAATAATTTCAGTTAAGTCAGGGCAAATGCCTGGATCACATAAGCCCAGGTTTAGACCGTAATTTGGGTGAAACGGTGATTGGGCAGTTGTGGACGAAGGGACATTGTTATACGCGAACTCGATCAACGGAAGCGAATCTTCCCATAGGGTCGGGTCGATACAGATTATTCGTATCAGCTACTCCATGGTCTGATTTGTCCGTTCAGTCTGACCATCGGCTTGTGGGTGGTAAGTCGTGGACAGATGGAGACGTGTATCGTACTGTTCCCACATTTTTGTCCAGAAGTTGGACATAAATCTGGGGTCACAATCGCTCACAATTGCCTTCGGGATTTCGTGAAGGCGAACGACGGTTGAGATGAACAGCTTGGTTGTTTGCTCGGATGTTATCATCATTCGGCATGGCGCAAAATGAGCCATTTTTGTGAGTCGATCAATGACCACGAGCACAGCATCATTTTGGGATGCGCCGGCCGGCAGTCCGGTCACGAAGTCCATGGACACGTGTGGCCAGGGCTTTGTGGGTGGTTCTAACGATTGCACTAATCCAGCTGGCTTTGGCAAGAGGATTTTATCAGTTGGTGGATGGGAAATGAGGCCACGTATTGCTGCTCATCATGGCTTGCATTCGGCCAGTAATAATGACGTTGGAGCATTTTCAAGGTTTTATCAACCCCGAAATGTCCTGAACATTCGGTGGGATGGAACCTAAATTTGGTCAGTACCAGTTTTTAGGTGGTAGTGGCCTCGTTGAGTGGTCAGGGCTTGGTGGCCGTTAGAGCTGAAAAGGGGATCTGTATTGTAGTCATGGGTAAATAGTCCAGTTAGCAGCAGATTAGCTTGGGCGATTAGTACGGCGGTTATATGGGCAGTAGGGCAAGAAAGGGCGTCGGCAATGTTATTTGCCCCCTTCTTGTAGGTGATTCGGTAGTGGAAGTTGGAGTTGAGATATTCAAGTCAACGAATCTGACGTCGGTTGGGCTTGGAGGAACTTTAGGGACTTGTGGTCTGTTCGGACAATAATGTCGGGACCTGATAGGTAGCAGCCAGGTCTTGAAAGTGTTGACGATCGCGAGCATTTCCTTGTCGTGAACCGGGTAATTCCGTTCAGCGCCTTTGAGTTTTCGCGAGTCGTAGGCAATTGGTTGTAGTCCTTCGCCAAAGTCCTGTAAAAGTACCACGTCAACGGGGATGTCTCTGGCGTCCTTGACCAATTTGTACGGGCGGTCAGGGTCGGCGATACGAAGAACAGGTGGTGTCATGAGGAAAGTCTCCAGTTGGTCAAACATAGCTTGCTGCCTCTCCTCCCACTAAAAAAAAAAACCCTTCTGCAGCAAGTCGGTTAGCAGGGCAGTGGACTCCGCCATGTTAGGGATAAAACCGTGCACGATGTTGACAAACCACAGAAAACTCCGCAACTCCTTGATGTTAGTAGGCGGCTCCCAGTTGCGAATGGTATCGATTTTTTGGGGATCAATTTTAACGCCTTCGGTTGAGATTACGTGCCCCACGAAATCCAGTTCCTCCTTTAGAAATCCGCACTTGGAGCCTTTGGTGATGAGTCGGTGGTGATCACAGAGGGTCAAAATTGCTTCCAGGTCTTGCAAATATTGTTCTCGAGTCTTGCTGTACACCGGGATGTCGTCCAGGTAGACGATGACGCACTTGTCCAGTAGCGAGCAGAAGACTTCATTCATGGTCAGTTGAAAAGTTGCGGGTGCGTTCGTCAACCCAAGCGACATCAAGGTATACTCGTCTCTTACGTAACGGGTTCGAAATGTAGTCTTTGGAATATCAGCTTCGGTGACACGAATTTGGTGGTAACCTCCTCGTAGGTCAATCTTGGAAAAAATCCTGGCCCCCCCAAGTTGGTTGATAAGATCATCGGCTCGTGGAATCGAGTAAAGCGACTTGATGGTGATGTTGTTGAGCGCTCGATTGTCGGTACACATCCAAAGCCCTCCGTCCATTTTAGGGGTGAAGATAATCGTTGCGGCGTAGGGTGATGTGGATGGGCGGATGATTTTTTTCTCCAGCAGATAATCCAATTGGTTACGTTAGCTCCATCAGCTTCAGTTGACTCAGCCTCCATTGTGATCGTAAGGTCGGTTGCGCTCCGGTTCGAGCTCAATCTAAGGGTCGTGTGGTCATTCGGGTGGTAGGCCGGAAGGTAGATCGTCGGGAAATAACTTCTCAAATTTGCGCATGATCTTCGCCAGGTCCTCAGGTACGGCAGCACACAGCTTCTTCAGGTCGGTCTGTTCAGCCGCCTCCGTTGATGCGATCCATCGGACGGTGTAGATGTCTATGCCACGTGCCATCACTCGCTTGATAGTCACGTTGTTCACCAGTGTTCACTGAGGGCTGGGTGGTTTCCACTTCGGCAGTCTTCGCCACTCGCCACCCCACTTCAAACGAATGTCGCCATTCCTCCAATCGATGCTCAGATTGTACGTGCGAAGCCAATCACACCCCAGGAGCACATCGCATCCGTCCAATATTGTCACTAGCATCTTCATGGCGAAACTGACTTGGCTGTCGCAATCAATGCGAACATATTTCACCCGCTCCCACAATTGCAACTGGCGTGCCGTCGATCAACCGCGCGTCAATTTCGAGCATGCACCGCTTCCTTTGCAGCTATAGCTTCTTTGCTCTTATCACGTCGAACAGACTGTGTGATGCGCCACCATCCACGAATATTTTAAATCTCGTATTGCCAACGCGCCCTTCCACCAGCACAGGGCAGTCAACAAGTTCACTCCCCTTTAATCGGGTATGGTCGATTGCATAGATCGGCACTACTACTCAGTGGGAATGGTGATCTTCGAGCGACG